TCGCTGGCCGAATGATTGTGTAGGTGTTGAGGTAAACCCAAGTGGGCTGAACTACACATACTGTAGTTTAATTTTGCGTGGGCGTGGGTGTGGTTATTGGATCGGTAGTTTAAGGGAGGGCCGAGTCGAGGCGTCATGGTTATTCTTGGAGGGGCGTAGGCTTTTTGTTCTTATCTGGCGTGGTCAAACCTTCACCCCCCCCCCCCAAACAGACAGAAAAAAAGAACTACAATTTACCTCCCACCGTACCCCATAGCTGATGACGTCACCGCGGTCACAATTGGTAAGCTTCTAGCATAATTATCGCAAAAAATCCCCACCTACAGTCTACCTTAACCTCAAACCGGCGAGCAAGCTAGTAACTCAACCCAATACCGTTTAACCCCCCAAAAAAACCTTAGCACCAGAAGTCGAACTCCCTTCAGCTAACCACTCTAACCCCTTGACTCCCAGTACAGCCCCAACTCGCCCCTTCGCCCTTCGCCCTCCCTCCTGCCCCCCCGCCCCCCCCCCGGCCCCCCGCACCCTCGCAGGCACCTCGAAGAACTCACCTTCAGGGTCGAGAAGTCGTGTGACGCCGTACTCGCGCTCCATGACATTAAAGGCTGTTTCAAGTCGCTCTCTGGGAGACCTCTGGCGGAGGGCACGCCAATCAACCAGGTCGGGTCTGTCGGAAAGGAGAGAGAAAAGCGGGATTAGCAATGGTGGCATTCCGTGTTAAATGGATCTCCGATGGGAAAGTTTATCATGAATTCGTTAGTAAAAATAAAACTCAATCAAATCAAAAGCTATTTTTAGTCTTCCTATTATTTTTCTTTGCATTTGAAATTTGATGACAAAGACTACACTGACTCAACTTGACACGAGCAAAAAAAAAAAATCAACTCTTTCACATGCTAAACAAAAGAAAGGTTCCACGGATTTTACGTTTCATGGCTGAAATCTTATCCATAATGATCTGAAAAAAGGAAAATCAACTGCCTGGAAAATGACGAGGTAAATCAACACAGTTCAGTGGTCAGAAGGAACAAGACTGGATACAGTGGCGTTAGCTCATGTTTATACAGCACGTGCAGGTAGGCATGCAAGGTACCAGACAAGTCTACTTACACATTCAACACACACCTGTAACCAACACACTCCGGGAGAAACAAAACATAATTAAAATATCCACGTATATCGGAAGCCAACTGGAGGATTAATTAAAATGGAGAGAAAAAATAAAACGTAAACACAAAGTACGATGAAGGATATTTAAAAAAAAGGGCTATCAGCAATCCTTCTTTCGAAAGATGAATATCAAAATGACACGGCACATTCTGAAGAGTTTAAAACAGAATGCAAAAACCTCGCAGACGTGAAGGACGGAGGGAGGGACAGGGCGTTAACAGGGGGGGGGGAGAAGAGACAGGGAGAGGGAGAGAGCCAAGGACCCTAAGATGGGGCACCAGTCACCGCACGCCCACACCCGCAACAACGCACGCCCACACCAGCATTCCTCGTCAGCCTACGCCAACATTCCATTAGGCGCTCGGCGAACCGCTCTCATTATAAAAAACACGCACACACCTTGTTAATCGTTCGCCAGCCAACAGTCATGAATATACGCGCCTTTTTCTCTAAAGCAGACGCAAACTCCCACTATTGTGTCTACATGCACATCAATACATACACCGACACTCAAACATACGTAATGCATGGACATTAATATGAGTAAATGGAACAAATACACACACATATAACCACAAACACACACACACATGGCACCCTTCTCTAAACAAAACGTTCTTCAATCCCACCGACTTCTTTCCCACACACAATTCACGAAAATAAAGCGGAATTCCGTGCCAAACCCCATCTATTAACACTTCTGTTGCTCCCAACCTCTGACTGAAGCAAATTTCACACACACATAAAAAAAGCGGCTGGAGCTTCGAGTAATAAGGCATGATCACTTAACAAGCCTTGGCATCACCGCAAACACAACCTGGAAGCCCCTGGAAGCCCCTGGAAGCCCCTGGAAGCCCCCGCCACCGCAACCAGACACAGTCGTACCACACACACACACCAGGCAACTGTCTCATGGCATCCTTCTCTGGGCACTAAGCATTCTACGGTCTTACTACGTAACAAATAGTAGTTCCTGTCAATATAATCAAAGACTGAAATGTATTAACTCACACACACACTGCATAATTTACAACAGCCATTCATTTTAGTCTACAGTTAACATTTAACAGTTAATATTCAACTTTTCTTCGATGAAGATTAAAACTACTGTACAGTACAAGGTATTCAAGGGCAGGGCATTTCCAATCAGGTTTTACATTACGCTAAACTTACAAACAGGAAGGCAAACTAAATAGCCTTGAACTATGCTAATACATTCATTCTTTCAATCTTCTCTCTCTCTCTCTCTCTCTCTCTCTCTCTCTCTCTCTCTCTCTCTCTCTCTCTCTCTCTCTCTCTCTCTCTCTCTCTCTCTCTCAAATTGCCCATTACCAACATCTACTCGAGCACAGCCCCGCCGTTCGAGCTCGTACCAGCGCAACATTTCCCTTCTAAAAGGCAATGGCCCCCAAACTAAAGTGCACAATAGGACACCATTCCTCACGGCAAGCCTGCACCAGGAACAAGAGTGCACAGATCACCAGGGGAAGGGAAAGGGGAAGGGGAAGGGGAAGGGGAGGGCGTGGAGGAGACCAGGGGGGGGGGGGGAGGAAACCACGGTATAAGTATTGGTGATAGGGTTTCGGGGACCCCCCAAAAAAATCAGGGAAGAGGGGGAGGTGGTGGTGGGGAGACGGGAGGGAGGGAGGGAGGGGGGGGAAGGGAGGGAGCTGGGGAAGAGGACTTACGGCGCGGGCTCAGGACCCCCTCCGTCAGAACCTTTGGAGGCTTCATTCCTGGAGGCGCTTCTGCTTCGGATGACCTCGCTGGAGGGGAAGAAGACATGGTGACGTCACGGAGGCCAGGTCAAGTCAGATGGTGGGCGTGACCCGCCTGCTCTCGCTAACACTTACATACACTACTGCTATGGCTGGACTAGTTAGTGGGCAAGTGACCAGCAGCTGTGGTGGCTATTAGCTTCGTTTAGTTACCTCGAGAGAAAAAATCATCTGAACATGCACTCCTCTAGCCCTAAATGTGGAAAAAAAAGCTTGAGCCAAAATAATAATAATAAATAATAATAATTAATGAGCAAGTTAACATCTAGTTTATTTCCTGTTTATTATTTACAGATTTAGTGAAATAAGCAAGCGGGAAGTGTTTAGATAAGACAGAAAAGAAGGAAACAGTAAACCAATCGTTAATACCGAAGAAATTTTGAGTTGCCAGTCATGCAAATCAAGCAAGGAAAGGGCACGGTCTGGAAACGGCCCAGGGACATTATAACAGCAATAATAATAATAATAATAATAATAATAATAATAATAATAATAATAATAATAATAATAATAATAATAATAACAATAATAATAATAATAATAATAATAATAATAATAACAACAATAATAATAATAAAAAATAATAATAATGATGCTTATGGTAATAACAACAATGATAATAAAAATACTACTGCTACCTTTGCTAATAATTTAAAAAAAAAATCATAAATCAATGACAATAATTCCTGAAACCAGCATCCCCAGCACAATACTCCTAAAAGCACTATCATTTACGACGCTTGATCTAAGCACTAGAGCAAACAGAGGAACAGTAAAAATAATAATGCGAGAATTGGGAAGGGGGGGGGGGGCTCTTGTGCCTGACGTCATGCATGGGGATAAAAGCTCGTTCCTCTGTTTCCCGTTCAAGATAAAAGCTGACTCTGCAACTATCGTGATCAGGCTGACCTTACCGGACTCTTGAACAACGGGAAAAATATCTATTGTTCATGTCCTCTCTTCACTGGGAAAAATATCTATTATGCTTGTCTTCTCCTCACTGGGAAAAATATCTATTGTTCATGTCCTCTCTTCACTGGGAAAAATATCTATTGTTCTTGTCTTCTCCTCACTGGGAAAAAATATCTATTGTTTTTGTCCTCTCTTCACTATCCTCCTCTGTCTCCCTCGTTATTCCCCTGTCCCATCCCATCCTTAACAGTTCGACACTCCAAAAATTAAATATTCAAAAACCCCATCCTCGTCAATTCTCTCCTCTTTACATCTATCTATCAACTGTCTACACTTATTTTCTCTACACCCATTGAATCTCCCCCATTATTATTCTCTCCGCTTTACGCTAGTCTTTCTCACTTCGCTAATGAAAATTAAACAAACATCCGTCCTGCTTGAGACGAATCGAAGCAGCCTCTTCCCCCGAGCACTTATCCCCTTATAGCATGCAAATGGAGAACAAAGGGAAAAAAACGCGAACAGTGATATACGACACAATCTTATCTTCAGCCTGAGGAACCATTATGGTCGAAAATCCCCAGACAAAGGACAAGTCTTTGGAACAAGATATTGTCATGCAGGAGAGATAGCTTTTGATAAATCAGAAGTTTGTTAAAAAAAATCATACCCGAAGGGAAAAAAAGAGAAAAAGTGTGTAAATAATGCATTAGATATTGCAGCCAAATCGTGAAAAAATGTGAATTGCAGTTAATGCTAAAGAAAAAAAAAGTAAAATGAGTCACGTTATTCGTCTGATGGGAAGGGAACAAGGGGGCAGGTGAAAAGGGGTTAACCAGGAATAAGCATGGGATACAACGAAGGGAAAAAAATAATATGAAAAAAAGGCACGGAGAAGAGAGGAAAGGGAGATAAAACTGCCTTCAAAACGTATCTTTCTTTTTTTTTTAAGGCGAGACAGGACACCAAAACTAACCTGTTCCTATGAATGATGGCGACGAAGGCGAGGCCGTCCCTCCAGGAGGTGGTGAAGTTCTTGACGTCGACATTGGGGTACTTGTGGGTAGTGAGGCGCGCCCACCGCAGCAGCGCCTCCTTGGCCGTCAGGTTCTCCTCCTGCCCCACCATGATGTCCGAGATCTGGAAAGGGGAGGCAGATATGTTGTAGTTCACTGTAGAATACGTTCTCCGGGTGATGGGGCGATGGTGATATGATGAATCAAAAATGAGAATTAAAAAAAAAATGTTCGTGACATAGCCTAGAACCTTGCATATGAGAACGGCGTAGAAAGTGAAATCAAATTTTCCTTCTAAAACAAGAAACAATTATATTGCAACGGTGCTTTCGCGATGGAGAAGTTGCCATTTTCATGGTCGAAGGCAGATCTCTCCTCTCTCTCGTTCACAGCATTTCCCTTTCTTTTTGGGGTCACGTGACCACGAAGGCCATCCGAAAGTAGCGGTCCTAGAAAGGACAAGTTTTGCAGCCGAGTTGGCATCGTTGAGTCATGCACCGGCCAGGATACCGGGTCAAAGGTCGGCTCCTGACTTGTGACGTCATCGTATATTGACCTGGAGGAGCCTGGAAGTCACGCTTGCTCCTTGCCGCTCCTTCTACGAGATAAATTCACATTCGAATGCCACTAAATACGTTTATTTGTCTGTTCGTTTTTATTTATGCGCAAGCGTGTATGCGTGTAAGCGAATACGTACACATGGAAGCGACCGCCAACCGCCTATCCTCCAAAAATAACAACCGGAAAAATCAACATCGTTCGCGCAGCCCGTAAAGATGCAGAACACTCCCCCTGGGCCGACGCGGCAGCCGGAACACGGTAATTTAGTGTCGAACGAGCCGCCATCCCGTCAGGAGCAAACAAAGACGCCGGAGGATGATGTCAGGCGGAGAATACGCTCGCCTCTTCTCACTCAGCCACCGTGTTTCCTGCAGGATCCCTCTCCTCTCCTTCTTAATGGTTCTCATCATCATCATCATTTTCCTAATCCTTCTCTTCCTTGTCCTTTATCACCCTTCCCAACTCCTTTCTCTACGTTTATTCCTCACACGTTTACCTCCTCTCTCCTCCCTTCCTTCTTTCCCTCCCAATCCCTCTTTCCATCTCTCCCACCCTCCACAATGTCTCTTGTCTGTCTCTCTCTCCCTCCCTTCCACCCACGCACAATCCTTCGCCCGCCTCTCCACCTGCTTCCAAAGAGGAGGAGGAGGAAAAACAGAGGAGGAGGAGGAGGAAAAACAGAGGAGGAGGAGGAAAAACAGAGGAGGAGGAGGAAAAACAGAGGAGGAGGAAAAACAGAGGAGGAGGAAAAACAGAGGAGGAGGAAAAACAGAGGAGGAGGAGGAGGAGGAGGAGGAGGAGGAAAAACAGAGGAGGAGGAGGAGGAAAAACAGAGGAGGAGGAGGAAAAACAGAGGAGGAGGAGGAAAAACAGAGGAGGAGGAGGAGGAGGAGGAGGAGGAAAAACAGAGGAGGAGGAGGAGGAGGAGGAGGAGGAGGAAAAACAGAGGAGGAGGAAAAACAGAGGAGGAGGAAAAACAGAGGAGGAGGAGGAGGAAAAACAGAGGAGGAGGAGGAGGAAAAACAGAGGAGGAGGAGGAAAAACAGAGGAGGAGGAGGAGGAGGAGGAGGAAAAACAGAGGAGGAGGAGGAGGAAAAACAGAGGAGGAGGAGGAAAAACAGAGGAGGAGGAGGAGGAAAAACAGAGGAGGAGGAGGAGGAGGAAAAACAGAGGAGGAGGAGGAGGAGGAGGAGGAGGAGGAGGAAAAACAGAGGAGGAGGAGGAGGAGGAAAAACAGAGGAGGAGGAAAAACAGAGGAGGAGGAAAAACAGAGGAGGAGGAAAAACAGAGGAGGAGGAGGAGGAGGAAAAACAGAGGAGGAGGAAAAACAGAGGAGGAGGAGGAGGAGGAGGAGGAGGAGGAAAAACAGAGGAGGAGGAAAAACAGAGGAGGAGGAGGAGGAAAAACAGAGGAGGAGGAAAAACAGAGGAGGAGGAGGAGGAGGAAAAACAGAGGAGGAGGAAAAACAGAGGAGGAGGAGGAAAAACAGAGGAGGAGGAGGAGGAGGAGGAGGAGGAGGAAAAACAGAGGAGGAGGAGGAGGAGGAAAAACAGAGGAGGAGGAGGAGGAAAAACAGAGGAGGAGGAGGAGGAGGAGGAAAAACAGAGGAGGAGGAGGAGGAGGAGGAAAAACAGAGGAGGAGGAGGAGGAAAAACAGAGGAGGAGGAGGAGGAGGAAAAACAGAGGAGGAGGAGGAGGAGGAAAAACAGAGGAGGAGGAGGAAAAACAGAGGAGGAGGAGGAAAAACAGAGGAGGAGGAAAAACAGAGGAGGAGGAGGAAAAACAGAGGAGGAGGAGGAAAAACAGAGGAGGAGGAGGAAAAACAGAGGAGGAGGAGGAGGAGGAAAAACAGAGGAGGAGGAGGAGGAAAAACAGAGGAGGAGGAAAAACAGAGGAGGAGGAGGAGGAGGAAAAACAGAGGAGGAGGAGGAAAAACAGAGGAGGAGGAAAAACAGAGGAGGAGGAAAAACAGAGGAGGAGGAGGAAAAACAGAGGAGGAGGAAAAACAGAGGAGGAGGAGGAAAAACAGAGGAGGAGGAGGAAAAACAGAGGAGGAGGAAAAACAGAGGAGGAGGAGGAGGAGGAGGAAAAACAGAGGAGGAGGAAAAACAGAGGAGGAGGAAAAACAGAGGAGGAGGAGGAAAAACAGAGGAGGAGGAGGAAAAACAGAGGAGGAGGAAAAACAGAGGAGGAGGAAAAACAGAGGAGGAGGAGGAAAAACAGAGGAGGAGGAGGAGGAAAAACAGAGGAGGAGGAGGAAAAACAGAGGAGGAGGAAAAACAGAGGAGGAGGAGGAAAAACAGAGGAGGAGGAGGAAAAACAGAGGAGGAGGAGGAAAAACAGAGGAGGAGGAAAAACAGAGGAGGAGGAAAAACAGAGGAGGAGGAAAAACAGAGGAGGAGGAGGAGGAGGAAAAACAGAGGAGGAGGAAAAACAGAGGAGGAGGAGGAGGAAAAACAGAGGAGGAGGAGGAGGAGGAGGAGGAGGAGGAGGAGGAGGAGGAGGAGGAAAAACAGAGGAGGAGGAAAAACAGAGGAGGAGGAGGAGGAGGAAAAACAGAGGAGGAGGAAAAACAGAGGAGGAGGAGGAGGAGGAGGAGGAGGAGGAGGAGGAGGAAAAACAGAGGAGGAGGAGGAGGAGGAGGAGGAGGAAAAACAGAGGAGGAGGAGGAAAAACAGAGGAGGAGGAAAAACAGAGGAGGAGGAGGAAAAACAGAGGAGGAGGAAAAACAGAGGAGGAGGAAAAACAGAGGAGGAGGAAAAACAGAGGAGGAGGAGGAGGAGGAGGAAAAACAGAGGAGGAGGAGGAAAAACAGAGGAGGAGGAGGAAAAACAGAGGAGGAGGAGGAGGAAAAACAGAGGAGGAGGAGGAGGAGGAGGAGGAGGAGGAGGAGGAAAAACAGAGGAGGAGGAGGAGGAGGAGGAGGAGGAGGAAAAACAGAGGAGGAGGAGGAGGAGGAGGAGGAAAAACAGAGGAGGAGGAGGAGGAGGAGGAGGAGGAGGAAAAACAGAGGAGGAGGAGGAAAAACAGAGGAGGAGGAGGAAAAACAGAGGAGGAGGAGGAAAAACAGAGGAGGAGGAGGAGGAAAAACAGAGGAGGAGGAAAAACAGAGGAGGAGGAAAAACAGAGGAGGAGGAGGAAAAACAGAGGAGGAGGAGGAGGAGGAGGAGGAGGAAAAACAGAGGAGGAGGAGGAGGAGGAGGAGGAGGAGGAGGAGGAAAAACAGAGGAGGAGGAGGAGGAGGAGGAGGAGGAGGAGGAGGAGGAAAAACAGAGGAGGAGGAGGAAAAACAGAGGAGGAGGAGGAGGAGGAGGAAAAACAGAGGAGGAGGAAAAACAGAGGAGGAGGAGGAGGAAAAACAGGAGGAGGAAAAACAGAGGAGGAGGAGGAGGAGGAGGAGGAGGAGGAAAAACAGAGGAGGAGGAGGAGGAGGAGGAGGAGGAAAAACAGAGGAGGAGGAGGAGGGAAAACAGAGGAGGAGGAGGAGGAGGAAAAACAGGAGGAGGAGCAGGAGGAGGAGGAGGAGGAGGAGGAGGAGGAGGAGGAGGAGGAGGAGGAGGAGGAGGAGGAGGAGGAGGAAGAAGAAGAAGAAGAAGGAGAAGAAGGAGGAGGAGGACAGATGTAAAAGTGGAAGAGACAAAGAAAGAGGAGCCGTACCACAAACGTCTTTTTCCCTCAAAGTGACCACCTTCTCCGGAATACATTGGCTTCCCAATCGCGTTCATGTGTCACTGTGACGTCACTACGCGCAAATTTAACACGATAAATCCAAACCAGCAACCAAAACATTTTTAAAAAGCAGCACGCAGACCTCGTCCTACTAAAAAAAATCGCACGGCAACCTGATTCAGTCTCTCCGCCCAGCGCACGACACAAGCAACAATGCAATTGCAGAGAACGGACAATTAGCATCGTGCAATCAGTGCAGCTTAGCGAGCCACTTTCCAGGGAGCTTCACGCCGGTGGACACAGAACCTGAAAGTAAGCTTTGATACGAGGCAAGTTTTCCTTCTGGCTTCCGTTTTTTTTTCGTCAAACTCTACTCTAATATTCATCTTTTTGGCTGTAAAAAAAGTTAAAGAATATGAGAATATCTTGAAATAATGAAAACCAAGACGAAAAAAGTCCGGGTAGCAGTTTCCGCCATGCGACATCGACACCCGAAACCAAATAACGTCACAGATTCCGAGCCCTGTCTTATTGTTTGTTTGTTCGTTTTTTTCCTTCCATATCTGTGTTGCTTATTTTTTTCTTTTGCGTCCATATTCGCGAAGAGAGAGTATTAACCAGCCAATAATTTCGGATAATGCGGTTCGTGTGATTGCAACTGAATTCCCGGGAAGAGAAATGGAGGATTAACAGCAATTACGTACAAATGGAAAGGCAAAGAGAAAAGAGAGGCTGTTCTAGAAGAGAAAACTAGCGACAGGAGCGCCGCATCCACAAAACTCGACCATCAAATCTTCTCACCGCGGAAGAGAGAGAGAGAAACTCAGAGACGAAAAAAAAAAAATAGTCAAATGAATCACGTTCGACTGGAAACGAAAGTGTTCCTCGAGTGCA